TTTTTTTAATCCAACATATAAATTTGGATTAACTTTTGATAGATTTTTATTATATTCTGTTTTAACACCTCTTCCTGGCTAAAGATCAAGCCAGGCAAAGCTTACAAGATTAGAGGTGCAAATCCTTAATCTTCACTTTAATTTTTGCTGTAAAAACCCTTGTCTTTTTGCTTAAGTCTTTTCTTCAGTCTTTTCACTTTAGTTTAATTATTTTAGTTTCCAACACATCTATAGATTCATTTCCATAATAGTATATATTCTTAATCGATATTGAGTCGAAAAACAGTCGACTTTTCCATTTTATCATTATGAGGCAGCGAATTAAGTTAGAGAGTAAGACATTAGAATCATTATTAATTAGCATGGGAGAGTGCCGGTTTGCAATGGAGTTCCGCTCGGGTAGCAGGTGCATCATCAAATACAGTATTGTTAATCTTCAAAATTAAGAATAGCTCGTTCTATACTATTTTTCATTCAGTCGTTAAATCTGCTGATAGTCGAAGGGCGTGAAAGGATGCACTCGCCACGCTCAATAAATATAATCGCTTTTAAACGGTGTAAGCTGGCATCATCCCAGAGTTTCTCATAGTTGAAAAACTGACGCGTTGAATTCAAAGTGGAACAGGACTTATCGATTTGAGTTCAAAGCTACAGGAAAGACTTCAGACTTGGAGGTATTAACGTGTATATTTTAGAGAATGATAAATTCATTTAGGTAATGTTTCAAATGCGAATTCTCGTGTGTGTGATGAAGTTAGCTTAAATGATGATGCTGATGAAGGCAAAAGACTGCAGCAAATTTGAATTGAACACCCGGGTACATAGTCAAAGGTATAACTAGGCTGCGCTATAGTACAAGATTAAAATATAACAAACAAGCGAACAAATAAAGAGAGTAAGCAAAACAAAACAACAAAAACAACATTAAAAACTCTGAAGATTTAGGGATTACTGATGGATGAAGATCACTAAATGAAATTGTTTTCTTTGTTTATTCTTTTGTCCTTATAATTAGCTTATACTTGGCCTTATGTTAAATGCTATACTTATGTCGATGGCTTATGTCAAACGCCTGTGATCGTTCCTAAGTCTTTTCTGTTGTCCTCGACCGCTGTGTGGTTTTGCTTGTAATCCAGACAGTCCAAGTAAATGTTTCGCGGATCTTTTTCAAAGTTAAATTACATCTAATTAGAACGCTAACAAAATTAAACATTATATTATTAGAACGGTTTTATTTATTTTAATTTTTTCGTACAATGACAATATTTAAAAAGTGTTTCTTCAATGCGACAATGAGTTCTTTGGTCTCTCACAGTGCGTTTTGCGTTTTTGGGCGGGAATTATCAAGCACAACTTCTAAACAAACTACTCTAAGAAAGTATTTTATAAATAATAAATAAATTTCACGATATCGACTTTATTCAAAATCGCAATCTTTTTTGAGCTGGCATCAACTTTCTGAATTGGTATATAAATAAGTCATGTGTAAAATTGTGTCTAATAAAAAAAAACAAAATTGGGTTAAGTCGTTAATCATAGCCTTTAAGATTGAAAGTGACATCAAATTTAAGTGGCTTAAAAACAGCGCACTTGGAAGGCAGGTAACTAAGATATTTGTCTACAACTATATTGGCAGTATATACCAATATGATGGATTGAATCTATATCGCAATATGTTATTGCTAAATCATGTTATTTGGTGCGCATTTTATTGGACTAAATCCAAAATTTAAAACTATTTTCAAAACTTCACTAGTTCAATTTAATCCATTTTTTTTTTGCAAATATAATTTAGCATTCCAAATTGAAAATGAAAAGGCATATTTCGCCATTTAAAACTCGCTAAAGGTCTTAACACATGACAATATTATTTTGTGTTTGCTGAACTTCTTCAGTGATGTCAGACAGCAATTCCACAGCGGGTAGTTTCTGTATGAATTGCAGATGACGTCATTGCACTTATAGTTTTTGCGCAATCATGTTTCAAACATATTGATTGAATTTGTTTAAAATAAACATCACTGCTCAAAGCCTTTGGTGAAATTGATTCTCTTGACAACAGTTCGGCTAACTGTAACTTTTAAAACTGTCCATTTGGCTTTCAAGAGACCGCGGTTTCACGACAAGAAGGGCAGAAAACTTTCAACAATATTGTACTTCAGTTTGTTCACAGGTCTAAGAGTGTTAGTGTTGTCTTCTTGGATTACGAAGCTGTTAGTAATTAATCAAAATCAACTCAAAACGATATTCTACAACCATCTGACGATATTTAATGTGCTAAAACCACTAGGGAAATTATCGAGGAGCGTGAAAGATAAATTCTCCATTGTATAAAAAGGAAAAAACACACGCTTCGCGGGGCGTTGGTGTGTCTTCCTCATAGGGGCCAACATCCTATAGTTTTCACCTTTCTTTTTATAATGGGCAATTTATCAAAGCTGTGTTTTTTTAGAAGTATTAGCGCAATTCACACACTTAAATAGTTGCCCGTTTTCATTCGGCAATCATTGTGGCCAGAACTTTCCCGAGTACGCCCATATCAACCAAGTCGTTCTCTCGTCTCTATATAACGTCTGTTGCTTAACTTTTCAGACGGACTACGTCCCATTATTGCAAACTTGAACTCATTATGACATCAGTGACRGACAACGCCACAGACGGCATCGATCCACTGGGTCGCTCCAAGTCAACAATCGCTATAGAACTCGTGTTCTGCTCAATTATAATGACCGCTTCTTTGTGCGGCAACATCCTGGTCGTCATCTCCATCAACCGAGATACAAGACTTAAAACAGTCACCAACATCTTCATTCAAAATCTGGCTTGGACGGACATTTGCATGGCGGTATTTCACATGCCTTTCTGGTTCATCAGTATTTACKATGGARAATGGATYTTCAGTCAACAAGTCTGTGATTAYCAAGCGGCTACGATGTTCGCCTTTGGGTCAGCGTCGATTACAACAATGGCCGTTATATCAATTAATCGATATTTTAAGATTGTCAGGCCTCAGAAGTATAACGATTTATTTGGTTCAAGGAAAAGGGTGTTAGTTTACTGCGCGTTGACATGGRTTGTTGGGGTRTTCTTTGCTATGCCGCCGGTATACGGCTGGGGAGTTTATAAGTACCACCGCCAGTTTATTGCGTGTTCGCTAATATGGGAACACCACATCTCGTTCGTTGTCATCTTTCTTGGTTGCTTCGTCAACGGCATTACTACAACTATCTTCATATGTTACTACAAAATCTACAAAGTTGTCAAACAAAGCTCAAGGAAYGTGGCGTCGCAYGGCAACGCAAATGCTACRTCAATCACCGACATTAAAATCCTTAAGTCGACTTTCGCGGTTGTTTGTGGSTATGTCTGCTGCTGGATGCCTGTAAGTATCGTCTGTTTGACCGAAACAGTCGGTGGGTACCCCCCACGGGGAGTGTATGCGGTGTCTATATACCTTATGTACTCCAGTAGTTGTATCAATCCGATTATATACGGGATCTTGAACCCTCAATTCAGAAGGGCGTTTATTGGTGTGTTCCGATGTCAAGACCCCAACACTGTACATAGTGTTAGTGACGATCCAGTACAAGCAACTTTAAGCCGTAGTGGACAGCCGTCTGTGATTTCTGTAGTCCAATCCGCAAAGAAATCCACCAATGATAAGCAGACATCACATGATAATCTTGGTCTTGACATCTCTCAAGTACAGCCACTGTGAAGCTCTGAGCTGTAAGTCCTGACGGGAAAACTGCTTCCGCTATATGCGGCGCGGAAAGACCGATGATACTCGTTCGCATACATAGCGTGCGATACTATGTCCCTAAATCCCAAAGGACAAAAGCAGTTGTTGTACTATCATATGTACTAAAGTGAGTCTGCTACGACACTCGTAGGACACAATGCGTGGAATTAACTGTAAGTGGTCTAGGGGCAGGTTAGTTTCTCCCTCCCTGGCCTGGCTTGCTGGGTGAGCATTGTAAACTAGCGAGGTTGTAGCAAGGTTGCTGCCGATATCTTCAGTGAGCCGTTTTGTAAGTGCGTGCGTTGCTTCAGCTCTATAATTGTATAGAGTTATCGCGCCAGAACTTTTTGATCTGTGTTCGAATCCCATTTGAATCATTTGTTTTTTTCTTTTGCAGCATTCATTTTGTTCATTATTATTCCTTTATCTATTATTAGTTAATAAGTTAAAAATACATCATTGAACGAGTTTAAAACATTTTATTGTTGGTAAACAAAGACTACTAAATTATCATTTAAAATTAAAATTAAATTCTACCTACACTACATACATGATACATACATGTCACTATAATTGTTATTGCAAATCATTGCAATTTGGTTCATTGTATTGTCATTTTATAAAAGATTATTATTGATTATTAATTATTCCTAGATAATATTATAAATTACTGTAATAACTATGAGCATCACGCAGACAATAAAATTCATCATCAGCCAATTACATTTGGCATTCCCAGTCTACCTCAGCTTTAGTACCACAGGGTTACCATTAAGATATGAGAAACCACAGGGATCCCAATCAGTTGATGAWCAAACWAATGCCAACTAAGGTCCCTTACTTATTCTTAAAGAAATTTTCCTCAAGGTACTTTTTTACCACGGGCCAAATGACATTGGTTTCTGTTCCAGCRAATGACTGTAGCTTGTTGAGGTTGCTATATATAAATAAATAGACAGATTTTTACTGACAAATCAGGTACATTGCAGCATAAACATTGTGATTTATATAGTCAAATTACCTGTAATATTCAATCAATGGCTTGGTTTGTTCTTCATACTTTTGAAGTCTAGCCTTAACAGTTTCAGGCTACAAAAGAAATTTGAGAAAAGGATTAAAAAAACATGGAAAAAATGCATGGGCTATAGCCCACCAAAATGGCCAAAAATGACCGATTTTTGATCAAAATGCATGTGCTATAGCCCACCAAAATGGCCAAAAATGACCGACTTTCACGAGATCTCTAAGTTGTTTATTTTGAGAATCCATAGAGAGTGGGGTTGTGACATTAAGGCTAGGAAAAATGAGGACACGGCTAGAATCACATAATTTACCTTGTCATCTTCTCTTTGCATTAAAGGCTCCCCTGTGATATCATCTTTACCCTTTTCAGGGATACACAAAAAAATGTTTGATCAATAATTAACATCAAAGTTTCTGGTTTCTATTTTATCAAGGTTTGAACAATGATATTGAGCTACCATTTGTAGGCCCCATTCAATGTCCTTGAATTGAAGTTTGTTAAGATAAATTTACACTCCAATTTGACACAAGCTTGCAATTATTACCTCAAGCATCTGTTATATCAAGACAGAGGGAAGGGGGATGGATTGCTCAAATCCCATACAGGATCAGGGTTTTGAGGTCCCAGTGGCACACCCCCACCCAAGTTGCGGGGGAGTAATGCTAAGTAAATGCTAAGTAAATGCTAAGTCCCCCCCCCCCCCAATGCTAAGTCTGACTGTGATATCCCAGGGAAGTGAAGTTTTTTAGCCTGGATTTTGGTAGATTTTTTAAGAAAATGCTGATGAAAATAAAAAAAACTAGTAGCATTCATTAGGACACCTTTGTGAAATGCACATACTTACTGGAACTTTTGGAGGATTGAATTCCAGGTTATACACTCTTCCGCTTGCGAAGTGAATCCAACGTTGCTGTCAAGAATCAATTGGTTGTCAAAGTAAAATTCTTAGATTCAGTAAAAAGTTAAATAATTGCTTTTGTACCTTTATTCTCTCTATTATTGTTTCAAAGGGTACATCCAAATTAACAACAATATCGATTGTTTGGTTCTGGGAGAGTACTTCTGCTTGACTGACTGTTCTTGGGAACCCTGTGGAGGGAGAAGATCACAGTCGTTCAAAATCGAATGCCAGCATGGTCAAAAACAAAACGGTCCTGATAATCAGCACGAGTATATTTAAAGTTGTTCATTAATGCACATTTAAACAAATGAAATACGCAATCGAGTGATGGATGCAGAAGATTATTAACCACAATATCATACAACTCAAAACAACAACAGCAATAAAAAGAATTTACCATCTAGCAACCAGCCACTTTTTCGTTGCTCGAGTTCTTTCAATGCAAGATCAACCATCAAATTGTCAGGTACAAGGTGTCCTTTATCGATGTATTTCTTCGCTTCTTTTCCTATATCGGTGTTATTTTGGATATGAGACCTCAGTAAGTCCCCACTGGAGAGATGGTCCAATCCAAAGTCACGAACAATTCGTTCTGAAACTGTGCCTTTTCCAGATCCTGGCGGGCCCATTATAATTGCATGTACAGGTTTGTAGCTAGCAGCGCCTTTATGGAAAGATCTGATGCAAAGTGAAGTGTTTTTAGCAAGMGGTGAGCGAAAAAYGAAAGCATATTGTATTCTAGAACGCGCTATGGCAGCCATGTTGGTTTTCYCTCAACTTAACACAGGAAACCCAAATTATGTCRCGAAAATTCCTGCTTGATTTTCTATGTTAAGCAAGTATTTCTTCGATATAGTTAAAGAAAAATGGTTGAATTTCATAACTATGTAAAAATATGTTTATTCAAAATATTGTAGCAATTATATAGAATTTTTAAATGTTTCTATTATCCGCTGTTCTATTGGACAGAAGGCTCGAGCACGTGGGACAATAAACAAAATGGCTGACGAAGGGTGAGTTTGTGAAATCTCTTGATAAATTTGCGAATATAACCATTTTTAGCCGCGTTTTTTAGTCAAAATAGTATGAATGCTATTTTCCAATCTCTATTTTATAACTTTCTTGAATTTTATCGTATTTTAATGAAGTTTTCAGTGCGTTTTTTTACATTTGAATATGTCTTCATAAAATCTTTAGCTTAACATTGAGCTCTACCGTACCTTGCTTTCCCTTATTTCTCGTTCTTTTGATAAAGAACTGTTCAATCTAAAAAGAGAGCAAAGAAACGATCTAGTTCTGATCTAGCCAACAAAARCAATAACGACTCCAAGGCCAAAAAAGTCAAATCAGAAGCGACGGACAGTAAAAAGTTCCAAAAGAAAAGTGCTGGAAAAAAGACGCCTTTTCCAAAGAAAAAGACTTTTGGAAGTCAAAATGCAAAGAAGAAAGGCAAAACAGCTGATAAGAAGCCTAGCAACACAACAGAAGGTTAGAAATTACCACAGGAATCCCATACATGGCTATACTGTATAATGTATAACCATTTAATTACGAAAAGTTTAACTATTTCATCTTTTTTTTATATCTTTTATTGACTGTAGATGAAGACAAACCTAATATTTGGCAAATGAAGAAAAAGGAAAGAAAAGAATATAGAAAAAAACATGATGAACACTATGATTTAATTCACTCCATTAAAAAACACTACGAATCRCTGCGAAGGTAAAGTATGCTTGTTTAAATCTTTCTTACCAAGATAAGGTCAGCCTGTGAGGGTTAACAATCTTTGTAATTATTTTAGGAAGGATATCCCTGATGCTGAGAAAGTAAAAACAATAGATGAAATATTGAAATTGATTGCTGGCCATACACATGAGGTGGGGTATATCTGGAAATAATAGACAAAATTTGTTTTAAATCAATAACAACTGAGCTTTTCAACCACTATTTCAAGAAGAAAGAAGATAATTTTTTAACTTTGAACCAGATTTATTTGTGTAAAGTAGCTATTGACATTTAAATCATTCAAATTGTTTCATCATTATTAGGTTATTTTCAAGCATGAYACRGGAAGAGTGATGCAATGCTGTGTGAAATATGGAAACAASAAGCAAAAGACAWCACTATTCAACCAATTTAAAGGTAGAATTCAAGCACCACAAAACCTTAACTAACATGCTCTTAATTTCCTCAAATATTGACTGAGTTTTTATACATTTTCCAGATGAATTTGAAGCCATGTCAAAGAGTATATATTCTAAATTTTTTGTTAAAAAGATGTTGAAATATGGGTTAGTACTTCTCAGAAATTAAACGTGAATAGCAAGATAAAGTTGTGATCTAATAGTTTTTTTTATTAAGGTCTAAAGAGCAACGTCGTTTCATTATCCAGTGCTTCAATGGAAAAGTTAAAAAGCTGATCAGGCATAAGGTATGGTACCATCATCAACATCATGAATCTTTACCATGATTATTCATCATCATCATCATAATGAAGTTAGTGTCATCATCAATCACAAACATATCTATGTTATCTTCACTGTTGCAAAATTGTAATCAATTATTAACATTTTATAATAACCATTTTGTATTTGCCTATAAGTTGTTCATTAATTATCATGTTTTTTTATTTTCTCAGGAAGCCTCTGAAATTCTGGAGCTTGTTTATACAGATTATGCAGTAGCTGCSGAAAAAACATCTCTGATACAAGAATTCTATGGACCTGAGTTTGCTCTTTTCAAGGTATAAAAATGAAATAGTCCCTGGGGGTACTCCCACTTAAAAGGGGAGTGTGCTCCTGATCAGAAATTTCAAAAATGAACCTTAAAAAAGACCTTCATTATGATTTGATGAGCATGATGAGCATGACAGTGATGATGTTTTCATCCCTAAAACCATCAGTACTTCATGTAAGACCCTATGAATTGGATCTATTGCTAATATCTCTGTATTAGGACTAAGGTAAATCTTCTTTTGGGGGCTTACATGAAGTACTAATCCCTAAAAGGGACCAATCAATAACCTGTCATTTTGGTTGATAGTCTCTGGACAAAAGAAGTCTTGAACAAATTCTGACAGATGAACCGTTAAAGAAGCCAGACATTGTGAGACATTTGAAGGAAGCTCTTGTCCCCTTAATTGACAGGTAGGACACTTTATGCTTTGACTTCAAACTCAAGAGAATCATACATGTTAGTAATTTGGTGTAGTTATAACAGTACAGCATGGAGTTAGACCACCATTAGATTGTGGTATTTCTATTCATTTGCTACATAAGTTGTGACGTCTTTGAATCCTAAAATCTAAACTTTATTTATCCAACACAAATTTTAATGGAAGAATGTGCATTTTATGATGATGATGATGAGGATGATGATGATGATGATGAGGAGGAGGAGGAGGAGGATGATGAGGATGATGATGATGATGAGGAGGAGGAGGAGGAGGAGGAGGATGGAGATGACATGATGAGGAGGATGAGCATGATGATGGTGTATAAACATCAGGGAAAGAATATGTTATTGTAT